ATTGCCCAGCAGTTGCCTTTGCATGTTATAATACTGACATACCAAGCAAGATGTGCCCACTGGTAAAACAATGGCATGAGAGTTATGGGGTAACTAATCATATTTGGATGAAAGCTGAGGTCTGCCCCACAAGAGGGAATTCATGCCTGCTACTATAAACCTGGACAAAAGCCCACAGCTAGCGAGAGCAAACTGCCTTCTAAAATCTATGCTTATACCTTTAGATTAATGCTGTATTCAGCCTTGAAGAGAAAAACTTCCCTCTGTGGCAGTCAGCAGTTAATACAGAGACTCCATCTGGCCAGAGTGTTGAGAGTAAGTGACCACTGACTGCTCAGCCCTAAGATATCCATAAGACATCCATATCACCCTCCCTTTCTCACTCATGGATGAGAGAACACTGTGAAAGATGACGTGAATAGAATGTAAGAGCAGAGGATGGGCTGTGAAGTGTTTTTTGGACATCACATAACCATTTCACTCATGAATTCACAGCAGCTATGGTTACTTAAAAAAGACACAGCAGACAGCACTATTTTGTAGGTTACAAAAAAATCAAAAATACAAATGAAAATAAAGAGGGCATGCAGGCATTGCTTGGGAATGAGAACAGAGAGTGTGGGATATACATGATCAAGATTCACTATTTACATGTATGAATTTGTTAAATTGAATAGAAACATGTAGCAATGGGGAATGGGGAACTGGGGGTAGCCACTAGAAAGTCTCAGACTCCAGTGAAGCTAGAGGCTCCCAGGAGCCAATGGCGACGATTTAGCCAAAATACCCAACAAAGGGGAAATACAACCTGTAGAGACCACCTCCAGTAGATAGGCATGGCACCCCAGTTGAGAGATGGAGCCACCCACACGTCTCAGAATTTTTAACCCAAAATTGTTCCTGTCCAAAGGAAAGACAGGGACAAAAAAATGCAACAGAGATGGAAGGAAAGGCCATCTAGAGACCAACCCAACCTAGGAATCCATCCCATCTGCAGACACCAAACCTCCACAGGACTGCTGATCCCAAGAGGCACTTGCTGACAGGAGCCTGATATAGCTGCTTCCTGAGAGGTTCTACCAGCACCTGATCAATACAGACGCAGATACAGCCAACCATTTGACTGAGCCTGGGAACCCCAGTGGAAGAGCTAGGGAAAGAACTGAAGGACTGAAGGGGATTGCAACCCCATAGGAAGAACAGTATCAACTAACTGGACTACCCAGAGCTCCCAGGGACTAAACCACTACCCAAAGATTATACATGGAGGGAGCCAGGATTCCAGATATACATGTATTAGAGGATGGCTTTATCTGACATCAATGGGAGGGGAGGCCCTTGGTCCTATGGAGGTTTGAAGCCCCAGTGTAGGGGGATGCTAGAGTGGGTGAGGTGGGAATGGGTGAGTGGGTGGAGGAGCACCCTCATAGAGGCAAAGAGGAAGGAGGTAATGGGAGATGGGATAGGGGGATTGTGGAGGGGTAACCAGGAAGGGGGATATAATTTGAAATGCAAAATTGATTTAAAAAAATAGGTTACAGAGCTAAACAAAGAATTTGCAAAATCTCAAATGGCCGAGAAGCACTTAAAGAAATGTTCAAAGTCCTAGTCATCAGGGAAATGCAAATCAAAATGGCCCTGAGATTCCATCTTACACTAATCAGAATGGCTAAGATCAAAAACTCAAGAGAGGCTGCTCCTGCCTGGGAAGCAGGGATGCTGGCTGCTGATATTTACTTCTCCTTCTGCTCCTCCAGATCCAGTTCCCTCAGTCTTATTCCCAGCTCGGTAGCAGAACACTGGCTTCAGTCTCCCTTTCCTCTATGACTCCACATGCTGGTGAGGATGTGGAGAAAGAGGAACACTCCTCCATTGCTGGTGGGATTACAAACTGGTACAACCCACTTTGAAAATCAATCTGGCAATTCCTCAGAAAATTGGAAATAGTTCTACCTAAACACCCACCTATATGAGTCCTGGGCATATACCTAAAAAATGCCCCACCATACCAAAAGGACTCATGCTCCATGTTCATAGCAGCCTTATTTGTAATAGCCAGAAGCTAGAAACAATCCATATGTCCCTCAACGGAAGAATGGATACAGAAAATGTGATTCATTTACACATGGAAATACTATTCATCTATTAAAAACAAGGACATAATAAATTTCACAGGCAAATGGATAGAACTAGAAAAATATCATCCTGAGTAAGGTAACCCAGACACAAAAGGACATGCATGGTATGTACTCACAAATTGGTATTAGCCAAAAAATATGAAATGCCTAGGATACAACCCACAGACAGTAAGAAGTTTAACAAGAAGAAGGCCCAAGTGAGGATACTTCAATCCCACTTAGAAGAGAGAACAAAATAATCACATGAGGCAAAGGGACGGAGGCATCTTGGTGGGAGAGGGTTGGGGAGGGAAAAAGGGGAACAGGATCAGGTGGGGCGTGGGGAACAGGAGGGAAGCCCTGAGGGACAGGTGAATGAATAGAACATATGTAGCCTCTGGGAGTGGGTGATGAGAGGACCCTTTAGAAAGTAACAGAGACCTGGGAGGTGACTCAGGAATCAATGGGAGTGACCTTAGATGAAATGCCTAACAGTGGGGAGAGGGAACTCAAAGTGTCCACCTCCAGGAGAAAGACAGGGCCTCAAGTGTAAGAAAAGGGTTACGAACCCACAGTCAAAATTTCTGACTCAGAATTGTTCCTGTCTAAAAGAACTGCAGAAGAGACTGAAGAAAAAGCCGTCCAGTGACCAGCCCAATCTAGGATCCATCTCATGGGTGTGGGCACGAAGGCCTGACACTATTACTGATGCTATGTTGTGCTTACAGAGAGGACCCTAGCATGGTGAGAGGCCCTACCAGCAGCTGACTGAGACAGATGAAACCACTGGACTGCTGTCAGGGACCCCTATGGTTGAGTTAGGGGAAGGATTGAGGAATCTGAAGAGGAGTGTGACCCCACAGGAAGACCAACAGTCTCAATTATCCTGGACCCCTGGGAGCTCCCAGAGACTGAACCATCAACTAGCCAGGACCAAGGGCTTGTTCAAGGCCCCCGGGACAGTCATAGCAGAGGTCTGCCTGGTCTAGCCTCAGTGGGAAATGATGTGCCTAATCCTGTAGAGACCTCAGGGAAGGAGGTTTGTCTGGTGGGGAGGGGAGGAAAGAGCACCCTCTTGGAAGCAAAGGGGAAGAGGAATGGCATAACAAACTGTGGGAGGGGCTTGGGGAATAATAATAATAATTCCAGTGACCAGCCCAATCTAGGATCCATCTCCAGCTGGAATGATAATTAAATGCAATAATTAATAATAATAATTAAATTTAATAATAATTAAATGCAATCCAGAATTACATTGGATTGGATAATATTATCCAGCTGGAATGATAATTAAATGCAGTAATTTTAGAAATAAAACAGAAGGTAGACTATTTCAAAAAATGTTATTGCTGTTTGTCCTAGAATAAAGTACAAACAGTGGGAAAAGAGAATATCAAAGCTCATTCGTGGAGAGGAGAGATAGGACTCTGCCTGGGACTCTCAATCAGGAACTCCATCTGACTGTCTCAGCTTCTCTAGCTGGATTCTGCTGAATGATTGTAAGCACCTGATATATGATGTTTTCTAACTGTGGCTATGCTCGTTTACTAGGATGCTCATCCAATGGAATACTCTATTCCAATCCAGATTCCAGAATGTGAACTCTAGCTGGCTGCCCCAATGAGGCTTTTCTACTGAATTTCTTCTGAATGTTTTTAAGACTGATTTGATGATGCAACGTTTACCTACTCACTCAATTGGACTGCTAACATCATCTAATTTGGTCATGTTTCCCTATCAACCTGCTCTTCTGTGATCTACTACTTACTATTTATGCTTTTACTTTTGCTTGCAATATACTTAATAAACTTACTCATTCAAAGCCCAAAGCATGGTTCTTGCATATCAATCTCTGGACCATACACATGATCGAGTTTAAAAGTTATTACTTTCAGGAAACTGGCAAGTTGCAAAATTAACATCCCCAAATCAGTAGCCTCCCTATATACCAAAGACAAACAGATTGAGGAAAAAAACTCAGAGTAACAGTCTCATCACCCACAATAGACAAACAAAATAAAACAATAAAAACCCCAAAAGATAAAGAATTCATCAAATAAAACTTTTTTTTTTTTTTTTTTTGGTTTTTCGAGACAGGGTTTCTCTGTGTAGTCCTGGCTGTCCTGGAACTCACTCTGTAGACCAGACTGGCCTCGAACTCAGAAATCCGCCTGCTTCTGCCTCCCAAGTGCTGGGATTAAAGGCGTGCACCACCACCGCCTGACCAAATAAAACTTTAAAACAACTAAAGAAAGAAATGAAAGAAGGCAGCAAATGACAAAGAGACCTCCCATAACACGGATTGGTATGATTAATATTGTGAAAACGTTCTTCCCTCTAAAACCAATCTACAGAGTTAATGCAATTTCTACAAAAAATTCCAATGTAATTCTTCACAGAAATTGAAAAACAATATTAAAATTCATAAAGAAGCATAAAAATAGCTAAAGCAACCCAGAACAATGAAAACACTACTGCAAGATTCACCATTCCTGACTGCAAGTGAAACTACAGCCATAGTGGTAAACACACCATGGCACTAGCACACAGACAGACACACTCCAATAGAATAGATCTGAGGACCCAGATGAACATCCACACTCATATACACTTTATTTATGACAAAGATGCTAAAAACATACATCAGAAGAAAGACTCCATTGTTTCAAATCTAGTTTCATGGGATGCAATACCCTCTTCTACCTACAGTGGGTGCAAGGCATGCACAGGGTAACACAGACATATGTGTATGAAAACAGCCATATGCATAAAATCAAACATTACAAATTATTTTTTAATTAAAAATTAAATTTAAAACAACCTTTTATCTATAGGCTGATGAAAGCAGGAAGTAGCAAGCTGACACAGACATTGCTGTCTTACCTTCTAGCAAGCTGCCTCAACTGTTCAGCACATCCACTGTCTGACTTCTGGTTGATAAGTTCCAGGATATTCATAGTTCTATGAAAATGTCCACATGATAAACTCACACTAATAGCTGTTTCATGTTTGTCTCCAGTAAGTACCCATACTTTAATACCAGCCATTCTCAGTGCTTCAATAGTTTCTCGAACTTTATCTTGTAGTCTAAAAATAAAAGACACAAAATTGGTAGTGAAAAATAACTCCTGTAGTACATGTTAAGTATAAGCTACACAATACATGTATAGTATATCAAACATAACTGAAATTTTCTTTCATCATGTAAGAAACAAGAATAAACTCTTAGTGGCTATCTAGTTCAGAGTCAATGAAAATTCATAATTGTATGTTTTTAAGGGTATTGTCAACAAAGTTGGTTTTTATGAACCCAACTAACTAGGTAGCGTTCATAAACTTATCTCACTGGGAAGTGGTATTGGGAGAGGGGAACTGAATTAAGGCCTGGGACATTTGTGCCACTACAGATTCCGAAATTTCAAACCAAAGATCTCCCTCCACCCCAGTCCTGAAGAAAATCACTCTGAGAGCTAACCATTAGACTACAGAACTTCACGTCAGTTTAAGACATCTCATGAAAACAACTGAAAGGATAATGAAAACCACACTTCAATACGTACACCTTTGTAGATACAGGAAACACAAGAGAATAGGCTTAACTTATAAAAAACAATTTGATTCATAGAATTCAATTTAATTCAAACTAACACTGATACAGATGCTGGATTAAAAAAAAACTGAGCAAGTTGCAAGGAATTTATATGCTACTAGAGGAGAAAAATCTTTAAACAAATAATTTAATATAGCATCAAAACACAAAACAAAACAGTAACCTAAAGAAGAGCATTTTCAGTCATGTCAGTTGTCAGAAAAGATCTTCCTGGATGAGTTAGTTATGAACACATTTTGTTCACAAATGCACAGCCTTGCCAAGGAACAAAGGCAGGACCAGCAAGTTGTATACAGCACAGCAGTCAGTGTGGTATTACTGAAGCATGAAGGAGATTGGGCAGTGGTGGAAAGGGGAGGATGGAGAGATGTGTGAGTGTTTAGTTGTCACTAAACACTAAGGAAAAGTAAACTAGAACTATAATACTGATAATTGTTTCTTTTTATCTATTTCAAATATCTAGATATCTTAATATCTAATGCTAGAATAAAACAGCATTATCCAGAGTAGAAGAATTAAAGCTTTAGTTTTCTATTTTGTTACAGGATGTTAATTAATGGTATTCATTTTCATACACTAGAAGCACTTGACTAAAATGTTCTTTAAAAGAAAGATATTGGTGGCTGGATAATAGCTCAGCAGTTAAGAGCACTGACTGCTATTTTAGAGGTCCTGAGTTTAATTCCCAGCAACCACATAGTGGCTCACAACCATTTGTAATGCGTAAAATAAATAAATAATTGAATAAATCTTTGAAAAAAGAGAGAAAGATACTGCCTACTTCTGATACTTGCCTGTCTTCCACTGCTGTAGCTCCTAGCAATATCAGGTCTTTCTCAATGTACTGGAAGACATCAGCCAACTTCTCTTCCCGACGCTGCAAGGCAGTCCTGGCCTCAAACAGGCGCCTGTCTACATCTTCATACTCTTTAGCTGTAAACTGTCTGTAAGCTATACACAGTGTCCGCAGTCCTTTCTAAAAGAAATGAAAAGGAAAGACAGGCACACACCTCTGTAAGAGGCAGATTTTTAACCTGACTTTACATACAGTCATTTTGTCTTCATCTGTGACTTGGGACTACACAAACTTAGCAATCTGTACTTGACTACTTTGATTATACAGACCTCAAATTTTCTTAATTTCTGAAAATTAGCATCCAAATCTAAAGATTTCTTACTATATATTTTCCTTAGAAAAACCCAAAATAAATGTTCTAGCAATACAACTTGAAGAGAGCAGATTTTAAAGTACCATATGAGCGTGTTTAACAAATTTGTAAATAGTGCCATTTCCTGATGTGTAAATAACACTCTTGTAAATAACATTTAAGAGGCCATTAGATATTAATATATGTACTAATTAATTCACTCTATAATAACTATATAGGAATACTGTTCTAGACAACAAATGTCTATGCGGTTAGATACTATAGTAGGTAGATGAATTAGATTGTAGGCAATTGCAAACCAAGTAGGTAAGGAGACGCCCAAGTATGAAGCACACATAGAAATATGAGCAGGAGAGATCCTGAATTAGGTTTTCTGCTTTTGGAAGAGTTTCTTGTGTTTTTCCTTTTAAATTAGAATCACATTATGTAAAATTAACTCCTTTAAAGAGTACCATGCAGTGCTTTTAGAATACTTACAAAATTGTTACCACTACCAGAATGCTTCACCCGCAATGGATTCCCTATCCATCAGAAGTCACTCCCTTCTTTTCCCTTCATCCAGAAGCCTTTGGAACTGCTCACTTGTTTTATCTCTATGAGCCTGCCTTATCCTGGATCTTTCAGATAAATAGACTGTGTGGTCTCTTTCAGCAAAGTTTTCAATGTTCATCCATGTAGTAGCATCTATAAGATACTAGTACCTCATCTCTCTTAACGACTAAGTAATATCTCATTACATTGCTGTGTCATATTTTATCCATTCATCACACCAGGTATCTAGGCTTTTCCAATTTGGGGCTATGAGGACTCATTCATTAGATGTATCTTTTCCTTTCTCTTTGGTGTACACCTAGGTATATAGCTAGGTCAGCTTATAACTTCATTTCTACCTTTTGTAGACTGACAAACTGTTCAAAGGCTACTGATTTATACAATATGTGCAATCTCTAGTTTCTCCACTCACCGGAATTCCTCCATATTCCTCTAGTAAGGCTGTTTCTGCTTTGTTAGTATGTCCTCTACACTAAACCACACACTTAATTTTTTTTTCTTTAAAAATCTGGGTTTAATTATGTTACCCCACTTGCTCTTGCATTTCTGGGATCAAGCTTTTGTCTTGTTTCTGCTTTTCTACCATAGGCCCAGAGTAAATTGAGGGAGGGAAAAAGGGAAGAAGAAGGAAAGAGAGGAAGAGGAAAACAAAGACACCTAGCCATTCAGAAGATGAAACCCAAAGATTTGTGCTTCACTCTAAGCCCCAAATACTCATTTTTGTTAAAGGTACAGTTTCGGCAGTATATGCAACCAGAAGTCCCTACTGCAATAGGTCAGAAGAAAATTTCAAGTTACTAGGTTAAAAAATCAGTTTTTACAAGTATAAAGAGCCAACATTTAATGCAAAAGAACAAAGAATTACAGAATTTCTAAAATTTGAATTATCTACTAAAAAGATGAAACTGCAACCCTTTCACAAGTATATTTTTCAAGTTTGTTTTTATTTTCTTTTTTTTTAAATCATAGCTATCTTTACTTACCAAAGCAAATTCATCAACATGAACTCTGGTTTTTGCTATTTCTCCACCTATACATTTAGGGAGAATTGAAGATTCTGCTCCTTTAGCAAACAAAAGCTTCTCACCTACAAAACCAAACAAACTAGTTATCAAGGTCTATATTACGTAAATAAATATTCATAAAAGTTTAGCTTGGTTACCTGAAGGTGCCTGAACAATTACACTCATTCTCCTACGATCTGAATCAAATTCCAGAATGTGAAGCAATTTGTACCTAAAAATTAAGAATGATAACCCTTAATTTTTAGAGTATTAACATCTGAATATTTAGAAAGAATAAGAAGACAAGCATAAAGTACCTTTCCATGATGATAGGCTCTAAGTTATCAATAATAGTACTGCACACAAAGGAGGTGACATTCCATCCTCAACAACTACCATGTACTTTACAGACCTTGGGTCACTTGGTTCCCACAGACGCCAAGGTGAGGACCACTAGAAAGATTATTATTCAACAAGCTGGTAAGTAGTAGAGAAGGACTGGAACCCAGCTCTGCCCGATTCTCTATCATCTCCTGTCCTAACACATCTCCCCAATTCAACCTTTATGCAGTATTAAAGGTTTGTTAGCAATGATTCCGGACCTGGGTGGGTGTTGAGGCGAAAGGTCAGGGAGCAAACGTCTCTGTAATGAACTAAGAGAAAAGTTATGAGGATAACTGTAGTGAGGTTTGAAAAATCTTCCAGGAGATAATTCTGTAGTGATGTGTAAGCAATGAAAGTTCTTCGTTGACAACAGGTTCCCTCATGAAAGCAGCTTCTGAACAGGCCTTATTTCTTTAGTATGGAAAAGCACAGCAATGGCTGAGGTACACAAACAATATGCAACAGGACCAACTTATTAGTGTAGAAAGAGGGTAAGGAAACTGCTGTTCTTGAATGCCTACACATAAAATCACAGACAACATAAGGGAACTTATACTGGGGTGCAGCTTCATGGCACAGCATTTGCCTAACATTCCTGAGACACTGGTTTTGATTCCTAGTACCACAAAAACAAAAGATAAAGACATTTCTTTTTCTAATGACCCATGGAATCTCAACCACAAGAGTGTTTTAATATAAATAGGTAAGTAAATTCAGTATAAAGCATACTGTTGTAATTGTGATAAGATACAATGTAATACTGACATCACTCTATAGCAGAGGTTAGCAAGTGTTTTACATAGCCAGCAAGTATTTTAGACTTTACAGGCTACATATGTCTCTGCTGTATATTAGGACTTATACTTGCATACAAGACAAGTGTTCTAACACTAAACTATATCCCCAGTCTTCTTTTGTTTTTTTACACTTTGAGATAGGTTCTTAATAAGTTTCCTGTGCTGGTTCACTTTATGGCCTAGGCAGGTCTTGAACTTGTGATCATCTGGCTATAGCCTTCATACTACCATAGCTATTTTCTTCTCTCTCCTCTCCCTTACTCTCTTTATCTTTTATAAACAGCGCCAAATGCAATCTAACATAGCTCACGGGCTATACAAAAACAGACTGGAGGACAAATAGGTCAAAGTTCCTGATTCCTATTCTGCACTTATTATAGAGTATTACATATTTCAAAAAATTTACCTTTCCAATCTTCCAAGTACTTTAACCTCCATAATTTCTTCAGAAATGCCTATAAATATATAGCCAGCTCTAGGAATAAAAAGAAGTAATAAGATTTAAGGGGAGATATTTCATGTTTCACAGTATAACTTTGTAACTTGGTTTGGATGAAGATACATTAACTGAAAGTTTAAGTTACAACACTGTCTTTAAATAATGTGACACTCTTAAGAACATGACAGACCATCCTAATAAGCCCTTAGAAACAGTGATCAAGAGAGTGTTCATGAACCTTTGTTTATTGCCTTGTTTGTTCTTTGATTATTTGTGTTTATTGTCCTGCTTGTTCCTTGACTACTTGTATCTATTGTATTGCTAGTTCCTCAACCTAGAACTGACCTTAATACTTGCATGTAATCAAAATGGTATAAAAGCATAAAGGAGGAGGGAGGATGGGATAGGGGTTCTAGGGAGGGGAAATGGGGACAGGGACATGTGAAATGTAAATAAATAAAATATCCAATAAAAAAAAATTTAAAAAAAAGAACATGACAGGCTAGACTACATTCAAAACAATGCAAAGTATTCTCACAAATTTTATTATACAAAATTCATACTAAACAATGTTTAAAAGATCATTAAAATTTATATTTGAGAACTTTACAATATTCTAACATTTGTTTCAAAATTATTCTCTGAGGATCAGAAAATCAGGCTCAATCACCTTGCTGCAGCTTCTACCAGAGCCTTTTCATCTGGTGAAGATGCATAGTACTCCAGCTGTGTAGGTGCCAGGTTGGGCTGCCAGGGACCGTCCCCAATGCCGTCAGTTTGAACATTGCTGATCTGTACAGTATGGCAAAGACTGACTGCTTTAAAGAAGAGATCATGTTCTTTGATCTGTAAAAACATAGCATTCATGACCGAAGCACATTCCCAGTACCATATAGGAAGACAGACATAATATCCTGAGAGCTGAAACAGACATAATGCCCTGAGAGTCCTACAACCCAAATTTCTTGAGTAAGAGCTCAAACTTGTAGATTTCAATCTTACACTGTTTGAGTAGCCTTTGTTATAAGTGCATCTTTTTAGAAAGCATAAACTAGGGAGAATATGTCCTTATGAAGAAGTCAGGTCTCCAAAAGCACAAATACATACTGTTTCTCCTTTTCACTTCAAGGCAGTAACTGTTGCCTAGTAAGTTAAGGCATTAAAGATGCTTAGTAATGACAAGCTAAACTGGGCTGTAACTGGAGTCTCAGAATATTATTTTGTGGTGCTGGATCAAAGATCTCTATTTCAAATATATACCTGTTGCTTCACCAACAGGAATTTCCCCTTAGTCCATTTATTAAAGAGAACTAATTCATAGGAAACCCACAATGATTAATTTGGAAATTGCTTACTAGCTCAGTTTCACTTTCAGGACTGGCTCTAAGAGAAGAGGCTGTAAGATGGGCTGAGTTGCTGAGATGGGATAAACTACCAAGGAAAGGCATGTTTCCTTCTGCAGAGTCTGGGCTTGGTCCTTCAGGTACAAGTTTACCATTGACTTCTTGGTATTTCAGGCCATTAATTGAACATTCTCGAAACTGCATCTCATTTTCTGTCAGTGTTCCAGTTTTGTCTGTAAACACATATTCCACCTAAAGGAAAAACCAAAAAAACAAAAGAAACCTTTGTGGTTAGGAGTCAGTATTGAACAAGGTAATAAAAATACTTAAAATTCACATATATATCTTTAGATACACGTTCATTTGTAGAGGTGACCGAGAATGAGGTTTAAGAATTTCATGTCTATCTCTTGGTCAATATGGTATGATTTGACACTTACCATTGAAGTAAGGGTAGAATTGATGATGATAAATAACCTAGAACGTGAATAGGGGCCAGGAGAGATGGTATAGAAACAGGGAAAGCAGATTTCTCAATGTAAACACATATTCTACCTCTCTCTCCCTCAGCTCGCTCGTTCTCTCTCTCTCTCTCTCTCTCTCTCTCTCTCTCTCTCTCTTTCTCTCCCTTTCTCCCTCCCGCCCTCTCTCTCTTTCTCTCTTTTCCTCTCTCTCCCTCCCCCCTCTTTCTCTCATACACACATACACACACACACACACACACACACGTAACTAGAAAAGTAAAAAGAAGGGAAGGGAGCCATTATAGAAAAATAAGCCAAAACAAAATACAGACCAATATCTTTCATGAGTATATACATACATACATGTATACTAAGTCCAGAAACATACAGAGACTTATATATCATACGTATATAAGACATCTCAGGAATCCATTATTAACTTGGTATACACCATTAATCATATTAATGATACTTGTCCTTTATTCTATTAATAAAATGGCCATCTCAACAGATACAGCAAAATCATTTAATAAAAATCCAATACTTTTTATGATAAAAACACAACATACTATGATAAAGGCTTCTTCAAAACTTGGTAATACCACACAGAATGATTTCCTATTATGAGCAGAGATATTAAGATAAAGTTGTCCTCACATGTTTTATTCAACATTGTACTGAAAATTCTAGTCAGGAAAAAGAAGCAGCAAGTTATCCTGATTAAAGAGAAAAGATATAAAGCTATCTCCATTTGCACATCTAATAACCTTACATCATCCAAGGGAACTCACTTTTTAAAAACATCTATCAGCAGTAATAAACAAGTTCAGTGAGACTCCAGGATGAAAGATCAATGTGCAGAGCTGGGGACTTAGCTCAGCGGTAGACCACTTGCCTAGCAAGTACCAGGCCCTGGGTTCCGTCCTCAGCTCTGGAAAAAAAAAAGACCAAAAAAAAAATCCCAAACAAACAAAAACAAAACAAAATAAAACAATGTTAAAAACAGATTAATGTGCAAAATTAAAGAATCAAAGTGGAAAAACTGTTTTAATCAAGAAATAAAGACAGATATGAAATTGTACTTTAAAGTCCATACTCTTGAGAGTAAAGGTAACTACAATAAAGGTAACTATGATACTCTGTAAAATAATAATTTACTCTGTAGGGCTATAATCTACATATGCTACAGTCTACATATGTAGTGTTAGGTACTGGGAAAGCTGGGACAGGAAAATCATTTGAGCTCAGAGTTTCTTCTTTTGTTTTTTTTTTAAAGACAGGGTTTCACTATGTAGCTCTAACTGTCCTAGAACTCACTATGTAGAGCAGGCTGGCCTTGAACACAGAGATCCACCTGCCTCTGTCTCCTGAATGCTGGGATTAAAGTATGTGTCAATATGCCAGGATGAGCTCAGAAGTTTAAGCATAGCTTGGGTTGCAAAAAACATGGCCCCATATAAAAAAGAAAAAGAAAAGAAAACAAAACAAAAGCCAAACCTAAATTATACATGGTGGGGTGGGAAAATTCTGGATTAACTGACATATTTGACTATACACAGAGAGATGTAAATATAGTTATAAAAAACTTGTTTGAAGTATAAAAAACTAAGCAAATGAAGAAACAGCAATTAACTCTAGGGGAGATAAAATATATAAAAAATAGGATTATAGTATTACAAAGAACAAATAAGAAAGTAGGAGCTTGGAAACAATATTATGAGTCATAATGTAAGTACATACTAGATGTCAAACACACTAGCGTAGGAAAAGTGGGCACATTTTGGGGTATGTGTATAAAATAGTAAGGTAATAGTTGCCCTTTTTAAAAATTTACTTTAAAAAAAAAATCATGTGTGCACACATGATTGCAGGTAGTTGTGGAAGCCAAAGACTTTAAATCCCTGAACCTGGAGTTAGAGGCAGTTTTCAATTTGAATTCATATCCAATGTAAATGCTAGGAACTGAAGTTCTCTGAAAGAGCAGAATGTGCTCTTAATTATTGAGTCATCTTTTTAGCCCCAAAGTCTTACCTTTATATTCCACAACTAAAAAGGTCTAAAATTTTAGTTCATAATACACTATCATATAAAATATATTGACAAATTATGGTAGAAAAAAGTTAAGACCTAAAGTAGAAATAGTCAGGATATAAAGTGAATAAAAAAAAATAAGTTGCTGAAGGAAAGTAAAAGGTGCTTGGTATAATAATAATATTTTCTAGTGTAATAGAATTGTTACATGTAATTCTCTGATGAAAAGAAAACATGCGGATCATATTCACCTGCCCAAGTTCTTCATTCAGATCAGAAGTATTGACTTGAGCTTTCTGATCTGACTCTTCGTGATACAGATCAAGATCCCAGCCAATAAAAAATGATCCAAGAAATTTCTGCATCTCAACTGTCACATATAGAGAAATTGGAATGATGAAATTGTAGAGTACCAAAAAAGCAAGGAAGTCAGAAATAAATCTCAGAATCTAGAAAAAAAGAGAAAGACATGTTTAATTGATGATAAAATCTATGAGGATTACGGAAAAAGTTCCTGTCTAAATAAACCACATTCAGAGATAAACTAGTATCATGAACCAAAGTCCTAGACTAAACTCTTTTAATATTGCATTTCCCCTGTTTACTTAGGTAATGTAAAGGTTAAAATTCTCAGGACGCAACTTGCCACTTTCCAGAAGTTAACATCACTTCTGAGCATGTGAACACCCCCAATCATAAGCACACCGAGTACAGTGTGCCAGCCATCCTACGATGACTCTTTCAAGATTGCAGTGACTAAGATATGCGTGGCATGTAAACATACTGGGACACGATTTCTAGGAAGAATTGTTAAACAGACTCTGAAGAAGAGTGACTACAGTGTGAACTGCAGCATTAGCACAGCAGAGCTGCCTTTCAATATGCTCTCTGTGGAACATAAGTGATACTGGCAATGGGAACCTATACTCATCTGCTTTGTTGCCTTATGAGATCGAAATGTTTTCTAATATGTACATTTTAATTTAAATGCTAATTTAGAGAACAATTATTTACTAAAATTGCAGGTTAAATTCTGTCCGTATGTTAAAACTCTTAAGACTTCTTGGATTATTAGACATGAATTAAAATCAATGTATTCGTTAATTCATTTATAAGGTACAATATATGATTTTTTTAAAGTCCTGAATTTGTAATACTAAAGTAGAATGCACCTGTTTTGACATAAACTTGTATGTTCTGCTTAGGCTTTAAGCTAGGGCAAGTACACCAACGCTAACATGCTGCTTGTACTGCTGAAGAGCTGATGCTGTGATGAGATCACACTGGTCCTCCCCATCAGATGTCACTACCACAGCATCAACCGTTTCCACAGAACTTCCTTTACAGCTGGATTATGAACAACATAGAATACCTTACTGCTATTTCTTTGATGTTCTGTTTTTTGATTATACCAAGGTTCATCCCACTTTTCTTCAGCTTGCCAGGTATATTTCAAGATCGTACTTATGATGGCCTCAGAAATAAGGATTATTAGATAAATTATTAAAAATGTGTTCATTGATCTAAAGCAAGAAAAAGAACATAAACATAGCAATAAATTTTATGTTCATTTGTTTAGAAATGAATGTTAGATATATCAAAATATTTAAGATTTTATTATAGCCATTTTAAAGAACAGAATTTTTAAAAAATGACCATTTAATAAAAAATAACTACCAGCAATCCAGTTATAAACTAAAGAATCACAAGAGCACAGCAAGATATATCCCAAAGTACAAGTGACACCTATATTTTGGAGGTTATAATGGACCATCTAATTGGACATGAAGCTTACTATACAGGAGGGAATTCATGTCAGGTACGATAAATATTGCCATCTGTGGCTGGTGAGGTCATGAACCCTAGAGGAGAGCCTACTATGCCATCTCCTAACCTAGTGTGATTTCCAGCTTCATTCTAAGTATCTATCCTATGAGCACAAACAGTGCAACTCTCACCACTCATCAAAGAAGATTCTTGCAGCAGATGGAGACCATATTAGAAATCCACAACTGTCAAAATACAGAGAACCAGTGACCATGCGGTGCTCAGCTCCGATTGGTACATCTATAACATAACTCCTACACTGAAAGCTCAATGAATTGAAATGGTGTTACGTAACAGTTTCCTCCCAGATCGAAACATTCCATCCTGCAGGACAGCTCCTTAAGCAGGAAGGTAAACAACTCAAAAGTGCTTCAGGAAATTCCTGCAGCTAACTAGACTCACTAGGCCCCTCCCTGACAGATTAAGAACAAAAATGGACAACCCTAATCAGAGTTCAGCTACACAAGACTCTTAGAGGAAGCAGAAACCACCTAAGCTGCCTCAAAGAAGTTTAGACCAACTGAATCACTCGGAAAGAACAAGGACAAGGAAATGGGCTGCTTGGCAGGAATATGACATTGGCCAAGGACAAGGAAGTGGCCTTCAGGCAGGAATCTGACATCAGGCTAGAACAAAGAAGAAATTTCAGGCTAGAACAAGGAAGTAGGCTTCAGACATGAAAATGACTTTGTGTTAGGACAGGGAAGTAGGCTCAAGATATTTTGGTCATCCTGATAAGCCCTTAGAAACAGTGATCAAGGGAGTGATCACGGACCTTTGTTTATTGCCTTGCTTGTTCTTTGACTATTTGCATCTATTGTATTGCTAGTTCCTCAATCTAGAACTGACCTTAATACTTGCATGTAATTAAAATGGTATAAAAGCAAAAAGGAGGAAGGGGATGGGATAGGGGTTTCTAGGAAGGGGAAATGGGGAAAGGGGGATGACATCTGAAATGTAAATATATGTAAATATATGAAATACCCAATAAAAAATAAAATTAACTTAAAAAAGAAAATAATTTTAAAAAAGAACACTTTAAGCTGCCTGCCTTCAGGCTGCACCGTGAGCTCCAGGTTCCCAGTTTCATGAACTGACACCCATGCTGAAGTGGGCTTCGGTGATGCATGCAGATGTCTGTAAGTCATTAATGATTCTGAAAGTAACCTCTCACCCACATTCCTACATGTAACCCCAATACAATTCTTTGGCTCATCAACATGGATTTCAGTAGTATTGTATTTGGAGTAAGTAGACATGTGTGTTGTGTCTTTCCAAGAGAAGTTTTGTCACACAACAGACAGTGTCTTCTATATATGACATCTATGAAATCTTAACCATGTGGTGACCTGACCAATGACAACATCAGTTGATATGCCAATGTGGATGGGGAATCTCTCAAGTTCCCACTCCTAGGTACAGTGCTACAGGAATTACGGGCCACTAAGAGAGGGGTAATCAATCTTCTCTAGAGATATACCCCATAATAAGTTGTCCAATTCGAAGTAGTAGCCCTAAATGCATATATATGAACAATAAGTTATCTCACCAAGTTGTATTAAAATTCATGTGTTTGTATATTTAATAAAATTAACTAAAGAAGAGTTCTTAAATTTGAGAGGGATTGGGGTGTTGTGGGAGGAGCTGGAGAAAAGTTGTTGTGAAAATGACATAAGCACAGTACTCAAGTATGAAATTCAAAAAACATTTTAAAAAACTGTATCAGGAATAGATAAGCTAATATATACAATGTTACACTGAGTAATAGTTTGGGCCACTGGTTTTTACTATAAGTAAGTATTCTCAGATTTTCAGGTTTATCTAATTATAACAGATAAAATTAACATTTATATATAGCATTGAACGTTATTTTTTTCAAAACTTCTGACACATCTATCTTAATCAACTCTTAAACATCTGGAATGGAATTCAGAAACCTTCTTTCATTCATTGGGCAATCTTAATACAATGTCCAATTTTAAAGTCAAAAACCAAAATATTCATGTAAGTAAAGAAGAATTTTTAGTTAAACAATTAAAATACATAGACACATAATCACAATGGTGTAATGAACTCCACACCTAGTGAGAATGTAAGAAAAACGTTAAGTCGAAGTTTTCATAAAAACTCTGCAGGGTAGAAACATACCTGCATTCCTGGCTTTTCTCCCTAGACCTCCCATAACTATGGATGGATACATTTGCTCTTACATTACCTACAACATAAATTCTACTACAACCAGATAACTATGAGAATATATGGGAAGTAAAAGCATAAGAGGAAGGGGCTCTTTCGCTACTTGATAACCATGTGTCAGGTATAGTGTTATTTGGTACTTCAACTGTAGGACTACTCACATTTTAAAATATCAAAGTATTTGGTTCAAAAGAATAAAACAAATAATCCACAATAATCAATGATTTAGATTTGATTAAGATTCACATTTATAAAACCTGAACTTATTTGTATGCAATTAATTCCACATACAGATTAACTGCCATTACCAGGAACTGTCCCATCATCATTTTACATATACAAATATAGATATATAAATATAGATAAATATGTGTATGTATAAAAATATATTTATCTAGGGCCCAGCATGATGGCATACACTTTTAACCCCAGCATTTAGAAGGCAGAGGCAGGTAGATTTCTGTGAGTTCAGGGTAGGCCTGGTCTACATAGTGAGTTCCGGGATATCCAGGGTTACATATAGAGACTCTGCCTCAAAAAAAATAAATAAAAAATAAATAAATAAGTAAGTAAAATTTAATCTTTTTTATTTTATCTTATTTGTATGAGTGTTTTGCATGCATATTACATATGCACAGCGCAGGTGTATCTGGTGCCTGTGGATGTCAGAAGGTGTGAGATACTATAGGATGGAGTTACAGATGGTTGTGAGCCACCATGGGAACCAAACCCAGGTCCTCTACAAGATCAACAAGTGCTCTCAACTGGTGAGCCATGTCTCGAGATCCCTTCACTCTTTCTATTCTCACTTACTCCACACTGAATCTCAGTCCCCCGGCAGCAATAATCTGTTCCCAACCTATACAGCTTTTTAATTTTGAAAAAGTCATACAACTAGAAATATCCAATATGTAATCTTTGAATTTGACTTTTGTACTAAGTATAACAATTTTGTAACCTGTTCTGATGCATGAAATGTAACTAACTCCCTTTTCTTGCTGAACAGTACTCCATGACATAGCTGTACCAGATTTTCTGTCCAACTATTACCCATGTATGGACAATGGCTATTTTCCAGTTTTGTTTTGTTTCTCTGTTATAAATAAAGCTGCTAAGGAAAGAAACAGCCAAGTTAACTTTCCAAATGGACCTTTATCATCTTACATTCCTTCCTTCCAACAGTGTAGGAGATCTAGGTGGTCTGCTTCCTCCTAGTACTTATTGAGTACTCTTTTGCTCTTGTTTCTTAAACGGTGAGTTAAACCTCGCTGTGGTTGTGATGATATTGTATAATAGGCAGTCATGTTGACTCAACATCTTTATCTCTTGATTTGCCAACTACAACTCCTTTGATGACCTGTGATTCATGTTTTTTGGATTACATCTACTTGATCTTTCTGTTACTGTTTGGTTTAAGTTTGTGGTTTGCAAACATTCCCCCGTCTGGAGCTTGTCTTTCCATCCTTTCAAGAGGAGTTGAAAATATTTTTAATTTACAGGAAGTTAATTTATTAACTTTTTCATTCAGGAGTTATACTTTTTTGGTTTTTTAAAATCTGCTTAAGTCTAGATCCTAAACTTTTTTTTTTGTTTTGTTTTGTTGAGACAGGATTTCTTTGTATAGCCCTGGCTGTCTTGGAACTCACTCAGTAGACCAGGCTGGCCTCGAACTCTCAAACTCAGAAATCTGCCTGCCTCTACCTCCCAAGTGCTGGGATTAAAGGCGTGCACCACCACCACCCGACTGATCCTAAACATTTTTATATGACTTCTGTCTTTATAATTCTGTTTCGTTCATATTTATTCAATAATCATTATTTTTGGATGCTGGAGAGTGAGCCTGTGGCCCTGGTGTATGCCCTCTCATTGGCAAAAGCTCTCTGCTCCCTCACTTTTATTAAAAATTTCACCCTGGGTATTGTAAATAACAGGGTGCAGAGTCTATAGCTTTTCATGTTCCTCAGAAGAGAGTTGATTTGTGGTCTAGTGGACAGTTAGTTTAAAGCACCTAACTTCACTGCAACTGGTAAAAGTAAAATTCTGTTTAGTTCCTCCCCCACACCCCAGCATTCTTCTAGGTTCTGTTGTTTGTTTATTGCCAACTTGTAACTACACAGTTTTATCAGCCATGCTAGAATTTAGGCAGGCTCTAAGTTTTCAAGTCTGTTATTTCCTGTGCTCTTATCCATTTTCTCCTAACTTTTTAGATGCTCTTCCAGTGTTACACCTTGTCCTCTGACGAGTTAACCAGGTAAAGAAATACAGCTTAGACTTCTCCTGTTTTTACTTCTCCCACTTCTGCCAATCATCTTCAGGACTGGACTCATTGCTAGTACTGACCTGCTTTTGGTCACTTTCTACTGCTAGTAGTTCAGGGTAGTCTCAAACGCATAATCTTCCAGTCTCTGACTTCCAAGTACTAGGATTGCTGGAATGCCCTCACCATGTACGCTCCAACATTACTTATGTGTGTACCTGTATGTGGGTTTGCATGCCTACACTGATACCAAGACAGGTATGTGTTATGGTATATGTATGCTTAAGGTTGGTATGTCCCTCCCTTGGTCTGTAACTTATTTATTGAGACAAGAGTTTCACACTAAATGCAGAGTTCACTGTTTCTGCTAGACTGGCTGACTGGCAAGCCCCTGTGATCTTCCTGCCTCTACACAGAAGGTTACATGCCATCACAAACAGCTTTTTATATGACTAATTGGTATCTCAATTCAGGTTCTCATTCTTGCACACCAAGTATTTTCTTCAGAGCTACTGCTTCATAACCTACACTATATTTAGTCATATTTTTGTATTTACTAACAGTCAAATCAATACCATGCAAAATGCTAAATATATACAAAAACATAAAACATTGTTTTATCCAATAAGAATATCATTTTTATATGTAATATGAAATACCTTTTAAAAGGAATTATTTTTATGTGTATGAGTGTTTTGCCTGCATGTGTGCAATTGCTCTGTATATATCACTAAATGTCCCTAGAGACCCCTTAGAACCAGAGTTTGAAATGGTTGTGAGTCACCATGTGGGTGCTGGGAACCAAACAAGATTGTGCAAGAGCAACCGTGCGCTTAATGACTGAATCATCTCTCTAGCTCCTGAAACATCTATTTTCATATATGTTATACATATATAAAATACACATATAATTATGTGAAGAGTTTTCTTACTTTTCTACAGCCGATCTTTTCTGTGACTTGCTCTTATAATTTAATGCCATCTTAGTTTCCATTCCGGTGTATACGGCCACACCTATGAAACAAAACTGCATTTTAAATGTACTCACTAACATTAAAGCTTTGAAGAAAAAGCACTGTATGAGAGCTTATATAATTCGACATTTCCTTGAGTCTTTTCATAGCTTTTAAAGCCTGCTAAGCCTAAAATTTTGGTGATCTAGACGTTCAACCTGCATGGAGTTTTGTTTCTCAATGATAACAGACATGTGGGTGAGAGATGTTCTGAGTTGAGACTGGTGGGAAAAGAGGACAGAATAATATAATAGATAGCCATGGCATTCGGTGCTAATAGTGTTACTAACAGCAACAACTGAAAAACACTTCCATTAAACTGGAGCTATGCCTTAGGCTAAAGACTCAGCATTGCAGAATCTGGAGTGTACATGTCATTCCTCAAGTACTGAAGAATAATATCAATGACTTTCAGAGTAAACGAAGCAAGCATTCATAAATGCTAAGGGAGACCCTGAGATAAATGAGAACAGTCAAAATAGTGGGACTAAAACTGCACAGTGAAACTAATTAGACAAGACCAAGCTTTAAATGATCATTCACATTCCTAAATAACATGAAAGAAACAACAGAGAATCAAGTGTGCCCTTCTAGTAAGGATCTGACTTGGAATTTTAAAAATAATAATTCTCTAATTTTGGGGTCATAATTAAAATGAAAAATAGCACTGAAACCATGCAATCTGAGAAAAAACAAACCTTCAGAATGAAACAACAGTGAAAAGGGTACTAAGGCAAACAATAGACCCAACTAAAAGCATTCAAATACACATTTGTCTCTAAAACTAAGCATGATTTGGACCCCTACTTTAAAGTAACAAGGACAAAAAGTATTACTCGCAGAAAGTCATAAAAGATTCAGTGTCTCATGAGAAAATTTAAAAATCCTGGAGGTTTAGTCTGGTTTCAGATAGTAGAATATTGTTTTAATTTTTTTTAAATGGTAACAAAATACATGTAACATCAAAGTACCACCTAATTATTTAACATGTATAGTTCAGAGTGGTAGTAAGACAATCACAATTTTGTAGACTCATTTTTTTCTATCTAACTAAAGAATACCTCAATCACTTAAAAAATGGTAGACCCATTAAATATCTATTCCTCTGTTTTTCTTTTTTTCGTTTGTTTGTTTGTTTGCTTGCTTGCTTGTTTTTTTCGAGACTAGGTTTCTCTGTGTAGCCCTGGCTGTCCTGGAACTCACTCTGTAGACCAGGCTGGCCTCGAACTCAGAAATCTGCCTGCCTCTGCCTCCCAAGTGCTGGGATTAAAGGCGTGCACCACCACTGCCTGGCTCCTCTGTTTTTCTATTCTTTAACCCCTGAAGATCATTTAGCGCTTCATCATTCTGGATATACCCAGGTAAGGCATTTCAAATGAAAGGGAGCATATAAATCTGTGGCCCTTTAGGCCTGGCTTCTATAAGGCAAGGGCACTATTACTCTTCCTCTTGAGTAATAGAGTGTATGTTCCAAAATGTGCCCTTTCCACATTCAGTAGGAAATTGTTTGATACCAGAGTATGTCTGTAATTATTAATTCAACTGAAGGATAACCATAACAGAATTGAAATAGTGTGGACTACTACTGTGATACTAAAAAGCACTGATTGTATCCATGTTATTTCAAGTACACCAGAATCATTTTCTTAGTACTCATTTTGATAGTTATTCACAAGCACAGTAAGAGGAAGAAGACTCTAGTACTACGCACAAGGAGAGATTAACAACAATGATAAAATACAATATTAAAACAAACCTTAAAAGAAAATTATTACTTAATAAAGTAATATGCAATCAAAGGAGCATAAAATGCTGTGCGGTTAAAGCTCCTTTACAGAGGTTGAGGATGCTGTCTAGAGCAATACAGAGTATGTGCCTGTTGTGTGCTAGACCTGAGTTCAGTACCCAGCACCTCTAAGTTTGTAAAAGCAAAGCTTCATATAAAAACACCAATACAAAACACACAAACAATTAAAAAAAAACTTAAGTATGTACAAACCAAAAATTTCTTTTGTATTTTTTAATCTGGCTCCACGAAGCAAGAGACTCTCTGGTCCCAGAGGTCTAAAGAAAAAAGAAATCCAAAAGGCACTGAATATATTAATATATTAATATTCAATTCAATTAAAAGGCATCTTCAATCAGAGATACTTAACTTGTAGTTACAACATGTTTCATATAAAATCAAACTCTCAGCTACTGTAATACTTCCTGGGCTAGTCATGTTAGTTACCATAACAATCATCATCTGCTTTAGCATTTCAGTCACTTTAAGATTAATGGCAGGGGTAAAGAGATCACTCTGCAGTTAAGAGAACTGGCTGTTTGCAAAGGACCTCAGTTTGATTCCCAGCACTGATATGGCAGCTCACAACCATCTCTAACTACAGCTCCAAGAGAACTGATATCCACTCTGACCTCTGTAGGCACTTGGCACTTAAGTAGTGCACTGATACATGCTTGCAAAAGACCCATATACATAAACTTTTTAAAATTAAGGCTAGTGGTTTAAAAGGAAAATTATACATTTAAATAAACTCACAAAGCCATTAATGTCAAAAATTTTAAAAATAAAATAAAATGAAAAATTAAGCAGTGATTTAAGAAAATTTAGAAGACAAAACTTAAATTGTTAGCAAAATTAACAGTTTAGAAAGGAAAATACAGAATGGAAATGCAGTGCAAACATAAAATTATCGTGAGACCTACAAAATATACATGCACAAGTTTTATCTAATTAAAATTATTTTAGAATATAAAATATAATATACAAAATATGTTAGTGTTTTATAGGCAAGCTCATAAAGCTGCCTACTTGCACTGCACCCCTCTCAGTGTACAGGCCTACTTGCTGTTTGAATTTTTCTCCATTACGGAGATATAAAATGAAAAGGAGTAACTACAAAGGAACTTGTATTTTCTTAATGATGGCAAGATGATCAAGACTCTGTCATGGATAAGTTAAAAGGTTTTTATCTTGTTGATAGTTCTTAAACTTTTCTCAAACATACAAAAATATGTTTATTCAAATCAAACAAGACCTGAATCATTTATTAAAAATATCAGCAAGCCCAAACACTATAAAAATAAACTGCACTGAACCAGGAAAGCCATGCACCTGGGACACATTTACCAAGTATGGCTTTCCTAAAGAGTCCTATCTGGTGAGTACTCAAGTCTGATATGCCAGTGACTGACTACTCAGCAGCAACAAAATACCTGTTTCCTTGAAAATACTTTCATTGCTAAAACTATGTGCCCATTAAACATCCATTCCTTATTGCTTTCTATTCAGTAACATGGTATTAGTTCTAATGATTAAAAGAAATGCATACAGAACTGGGATACTGTATCAGCTTCCAAATAAAAGACAATTCAATAGTTAATTGCAATTGTTTCAGTGAAGAGCACAGCTCATTTTTTCAGCCACTCAGGAGTGAGTGTTCTATGCTACAATGTTTCTTTACCAGACACAGTATCTTAAAACACAATTCAGATGATGCATCCACAAAATTTTCACTCTTTCAATACAGAAACAAAAATAAAACTTGGGGGCTGGAGAGACTGTTCAGCAGTTAAGAGCATTGACTGCTCTTCCAGAGGTCCTGAGTTCAATTCCCAGCAACCACATGGAGGCTCACAACCATTTGTAATGAAATCTGATGCCCTCTTCTGGTATGTCTGCAAACAGAGGCAGTGTAGTCACATAAAATAAATAAATAAATCTTGAAAAAAACCTTAGTCACAGTTTTTCATCAGGGATCTTATGCATATACATAATAACATCACATATCTATGAGAGTATATATGTCACATATTATTATTCAATTTATTGAATCCACTTTCTTATGCTAATGTTTATTAAAATATGAGTCAGTACCAATATATGACATTTTGATGGCTTATCTTGAAGACCTAATTTTAAAATGCTCCACTCTTTCTGCTACTGACTTATTTCATGCACCAATATACAGCGGATGTATCCCTAGAAGAGAGTTGGCAAACTCCAATTAAAATAAAAATTTAATGGCTGAGTTAAGATCCTTCAGGGCATAAATAAAAATGTAATCTCATCCTATTAGCAAATCTTTAAACTGACTCCAAGCCTCTTATTTAGATGCTGAAACAGACAAACCACCACCACCAACAAACCCAATCAGAAGAACAAGTATAACAATTCAGAATTGGTCACTACAGACTTTAGCTTCACTCAGTAACTAAAATAAAGCCAACCACAGAATTCACATTTGCTAAATAAACATTATGCAAAACATGCATCTTTTAAAACTTTTTTTGTGGCAGGAGGACTGAACTCTGGACTTCCTATATGGTATAACTGCTGTACCATGAAACTGAACCCTAACTCTGAGTATTATGATTTAAATGTTTAAGGATCTGAATTAAAGCAGCAGCATTTCATTTCAAAGGTGCCACCAAAGACTATCAAAAATGCAAATATATAAATCTTCATACTTACTTTTATGTGATTACATGGAGTATTTCATCTTCACTTGACGCTCCTAAAAACTACTGGCTGATGACATATTTATGCTCTCCCATGATATGCTGTTCATTTACTTAATTCCCTTTAACTTTTGGTCTCTCTACCAGTTTCCAATTACAATAAGTAGATAATATGATTTATTCTTACCTTACAATTTCTTCCATTTGTTGAGTTATTATCATTCGTCCCGTAAATCTGTAAAAGAATGTATCACATTACAAAAATAGGTAACTTATGGAATCAATGGGAAGAATGCATTTAGCATTATAAGCCAAATGAAATAGAACCTGTGTGTGTTTGTGGTGCGTAGGGTGTGTGTGTGTGTGTGTGTGTGTGTGTCTGTGTGTGTCTGTGTGTGTGTGTGCATACGCAGGAATACAGCAGTTGCCCTTTGGCATTCTGGCAATCTGTCTTGTTCCTCTAAGGCAGGACCCTCTCTGAACCAGGAACTTTCAGTGTTTCATGCAGGCTACTAGCCAGCAAGCTGCTGCAAAAGTCCATCCTCCTATTTCTACCCCGGCCCTACCCAGTGCTTGGGTTAGGCTTGTTGCTTTTTCTAGGACACAAATTGAAGTTCTCATCATTATGTTACAAGTTCCCTAACCAGTAAGTCATCTCTCTAACTCCTAATCAATTTTTTTATGGAAACTTTGTTATTCTGGTGCTGGGGACAAAAGCTAGGTCTTACATCTTATATATCATTCAATATTAGTGGTATAAAATATTTTTTAAAGTTAGGTTTTAAATTTTAGAAACTGATAATTATTGTCATCTCTTGTCTAGCTATGGTTGAACAAACAAAATCATTTCAAAATGCTCATGTAAATGTCACATGCCACTATTATTAATCTATGTTTCATCCTAACTTATAAATTACTACACAAAAATACATACAGAACTCAGCCAACAATGAATGTTTATACGTATCACTACAGTTTACTAAAGTTCTCTGTGACCTACAAATCACCGGAACCAGATCTATTTAATCTATTCAACAAATATCCAATGAGCAACTTTGCCTGAGATAACTAGTGGCGCTAAAGCAGCAAGCTCAAGTGTGAGACAATCCTGAGATTCTTTAACTTTGTAAGGTTTTGTGGCTAAAATCTGGGCTGAACAGCCTATTATCATAATGGACTTCCAGAGTCTGGATTTTCAGCTCCAATTTCCACAACTGAAGAAAGACAGTGTACACAGTTAATTCAAGAGCACAAGTATCTTACAGTCAGAAAGCAAATTCTGGACAAAGCTTCAAGTTAATCTTTAGGTAAAGAGATTTCAAAGGTTTTAATTTACTATTTTTTGCTATGTATATGGGTGATTTGCCTGCACATGTCTATGTACCACAGGCATGCACGTTTGATGCCCACGGAGCAAATAAAGAAGGTTTAGCACTCCCTTCCAAATGCCCCCTATTGCCCTTCCCATTCCAGGCCCAGATCTTTTATCTGCTGCAGAATTTAACTTCATTAATTCTTATGATTTCTCATTTTTTCTTCTCTCAGGTTTTTATATCAAGGGAGTACTGTTATTATTCTCCTAATTCTGGAGAAATTTATCTAGACTTTATATTTGGATCCAATTCAGCTGGTGATTTCCTGCACTCCTTTAAGAAGTGATATGGGAGCCAGTCTTTTGTTTTCTTTCTCCATATGCCATTCATTACCCTTGATTCCGACATTCTAGTATGTGTTTAAGCCAGTTCTATGCTGGACCAACCCTTTCCGCAGTCCCTCATCTTTTTCTTTCCAAAGTAGAAATAACTATGTCATTATTTTCTGATCAGAAATATAAGTTATATTAGCTATACTAGTGCACAAATACATTTTACAAACTATTTAGATAAAATAAGATAGCAAAATGGAAGTAGCAGCTTTACTGGTTAGTTTTTTGTCATACTGACACAAGCTAGAGTCATCCAGAAAGAGAGAACCTCAGCTGAGAAAATGCCAAGTCATCTGACTGGCCTAATAGCAAGTTTGTGGGTCGTTTTCTAGATTGTAGATTGATGAGGGAGGGCCTTGCCCACTGTCAGCAGGTGGTACTGGGTTCCATAAAAAAGCAAACTAGAAAACTTGTGAGGAGCAAACCTCTATACACTGTTCCTCCACGGTCTCTGCTCTAATTCCTGCCTCAGGGTTCCTGCTCTGACTTCTTCATGATGGACCTGTAAGCTTAACATGAGATTAAACCCTTCCCTCTCCTAGTTGCTTTTGGTCTTCGTGTTTATCAAAGCAATGGAGAAGCAAACTAAGGCAATAACCACTAGGAATCTCACTATTTAACACTGCTAAAGTTTAGGGGTATATATGCATTTTAGGCTTCACATACACACATTTAAGCCCTTAAAACCAAAACCAGAATCATGACGTAAGTGTAGTTGCTAACATTCTCCTCTCAACTTAATATGCTCTATCAGGAGTATTTACAGGGCTAAGGCTGAGGAGATGGCTTAGTAAAGAATTTGCTATCAGCATGAGAACTGAGCTACATCCTTAGTCTCTGAATAAAGGCTGGGTACAGCAGTGCACACCTGTCAGCCCAATGCTGATGAGGCAGGGACAGGAGCCCTGGAGCTCGCTGGCTAGCCAGTCTTGGTAACAGATTTTACCTCAGTAAATAAGGTGGAAGATGATCAAGGAAGACACAGGACATTGACCTTTAGCCTTACAGGCATGCATACACAGGTATACATGCCAATATAAACACATGCGTAACAAAATGCTAGCTCGCTCTCTCCTTCTCAACCTAATACCAAAATTTTAATTAGTATCTTTTGCTTAGAATTTTACCAAATTGTTTTGTATTCCTCACTTTGACTGAAGGCCTCACAAATATTATTACCAGATCAGATAAGAGTTTCAACTTAGGAACTAACGGGCTGTCTCATGAGTAAAGACATTTGCTGCCAAGTCTGATAACCTGAGTTCACTCCCCGTAACCCACATAGAAGGAAAGAACAAAATCCCAAGAGTAGTCCTCAGACCTTCATACACACAGTGGCATGCACATGCCTGAACACATACACACATGCACATACATGTACACAAGTAAGTAAAATGTAATAGAAATTTTAAAGTTTTACTTTTGTTTGTTTATGAAAACAAGGTCTTTGCTGGGCGGTGGTGGCACACGCCTTTAATCCCAGCACTTGGGAGGCAGAGGCAGGCGGATTTCTGAGTTCAAGGCCAGCCTGGTCTACAGAGTGAGTTCCAGGACAGCCAGGGCTATACAGAGAAACCCTGTCTCGAAAAACAAAAAAACAAAAAAACAAAAAACAAAAAAAACCAAGGTCTTTTTAATAGAAAGCTGACCTTCTATTAGAACTTTTATATTATAGTAAATTTTATGAGATAAAATTTAAAAATAATTTTGTAAGCTATTTGTGACTATTTAATAATAGTCTATTAGAATTTTACTTCTAATAGAAGCTGTTAAATGAAGATGAGCTCACCACGTAACACAGCATACCTGTATAAGTCTGCTTCTGGCTGTTGGCATTCTATTACAGCTATGAGACTGTCCAAGTTGGCAACTGTTTGTAATACTGCTGTTTCTGGAACTGACACATGTGTCTGAAAAAAATTAGAAAAGGAGTGATATATATTTAACCCTGCCCTCAGATAATGACTACTTCAAATGTCTTCTAGATGAAATCATGGGATACTAGATTGCAGATCACTCTGCTAAGATGACAGAGAAGAAATAATTAGAAATGGGCAGATAACAAATGGATTGCTATGTTTACATGGAGCAAGCCTGTTCATCTGGAGTGTATTTGTAATCAAATGTCTAAAGATTCATTATATCCTATTTAGTAGAAAAAAATGTGAATTTTCACTCCTTATTAGACTCTAAAAACTGGGCAAATTTATACTTCCTTCTTTATTAAAAATCTATCAAGCTGGGCATGGTGGTTGACATCTATAATCACAGTATTTGAGAGGCAGAGGTAGGACCGTCAGAAGTTTGAGGCCAGTCTAGTTTAAAAAAAAAATAAAGCATCAGAAGTATTAAAAGATCTTATTTTTTCCTAAAACATTATCTATTTCCACTTTTAACATGAACAAAGCCAGGGTGAGGATGCCTTAAAAACATAGTAACAATAAATTTACATTTTAAACATTAGTTGCATACATGTGTATGCATGTCTGTTTATCTACACAGGAGTGTGCAGAAATCAGATATGCATGTGTGTACGGAGCCTGGAGGTTTACTTGGGGAGTTTTCAATCACTCGCCTCTGTACTTATTGAGATGGGTCTCACTGCACATAAAATTTACCAGTCATTACACTGACTGACTAGTTACACTGACTAGTTATCAAGCCCCATCTAAACCTCCCCAGGGCTGGGATTAAAAGCATGTGCTGTTGTGCCTGTCTTTATTATGTATGTGCTAGGGATTCAAACTCAGATGCTTACACTGGGTAGCAAGTACTCTACTAACACAGTCATTGTCCCAATCCATCAACTTTTGTCAATTTTTTTTTAAGTTTCAGTAACTTAAAAAGAACTTTATCAGGTCAAACCTGATCACTTCACCAAAAGTAAATATTATAAACACGAGGCATTATATTCACCAAAGTAGTACTAAACATATATATGAACAAACCTTTAGGTTTGTCTCTCCATCCAAACTAGCGGTTGTAACATGACATGAACCATCAAATCGATCTGAGGACAGAAGCACCAAATCTGCAGGAAAAATTTCATCTTTGGCTATACGAACAATATCACCCACCTATAGAAATCAAGAGAAAAGTGACTTTACATTTTAAAAGGCAAGTATTTGTTTTCATTCTGTTCTAGATAGATTACCACAATATTTTATTTAGCATGTATTTTCTGCAATGTAGATGAACTTGGGGGCTCGAGCATGTGAAGCAAGTACTCTGCTACTGACATACACACATGCACATACATAGGACTTTATAATATAAAATATATAGATAAAATCAAGACCAAAACTATGATACAAAATACAATTTTATCTCATTTTCCATACACATACCCGAATGTTTTTTGATCTAGTTTTTACAAGCCCACCACTTCTAACAACATAGACAGGAGCTCCATTTACTTCATTGTCTGAGTTATGGCGTAACCAGTCTTCATAACCCTAGAAATAAAGAAGAAACATTATCCTATAGTTTCTGGGGAACATTCACCAGAATTCTACTAGGCTACTTTGATGCCTACAACAGAAATGACATTTCTGACACTCATTCGTACCAGAAACATTAACTGTTTCTATTACATATATGTCCCTGGTATTCTGAGATCCTGAATGACATTTGAGACATTCACTCTTTCTAGAAACATTAACTGTTTCTATTACATATATGTCCCTGGTATTCTCAGATCCTGAATGACATTTGAGACATTCACTCTTTCTAGAAACATTAACTGTTTCTATTACATATATGTCCCTGGTATTCTGAGATCCGGACCTTTCCTTGTTTTCTTATGAAGGTTTTCCTCTGCCACCTTTATCAGTGCTTTTCACATACTTCACTCTTAGTAATAAAATTACTCTATTTATTTCTATGTATTCAAATAATATAAAGTATACTGATAATTCTAAATATTTTTTTTCTCAAACTCCCATTTCTTCTGGATTCCAAAAGTAAGTTATAACTGCATTATTAATATCTTCATTTGAGGTTTTATAAATATCTTTAAACATTCATATACATTATGTGCATGTGAAAAAATATTTATTTCTGGTAATTTTCATATTCACCCCTAGAAACCTTTCTCTCAATAAGCCAACTCCTCCTGCAATGTCTTTTTGTGCCTGTAAACAAACTCAGTTAAGTTTCAGTTGGTGGTATGGGCATGAGTTGTGGGGGAGAGGTGGTCCTTATACCACAGATAAATGTTTCCTTTACCCCTCATCAAGGGAACTTCTCTTCTGTAGAGACCACTACAGAAATCCAAAACCAATCAAAATGCAGAGTTGTTGAGCTCAGTCCCAATGGGTCTACAAAATGCCCATACACCTAAGGCTCAGGTAATGTTGCAGGAGGGGATGGAGAAAAATTTTAAGAGCCAGAGGTTCAGGGGATTTGCTTGAGATTGTGTCTGCTAAGTAACAACAGAAGCTACAACCATGAAATCTCATGAACATGACTGCCCAAACATGAGCTGAACAATGAGGACACCAATAAACATGCCAAACTGCATCAGGAAAAGCCCGTGAGGCCTCAACGATATACAAGGAACTACTACAGGCAACTGTTTAAAGCTTGGAGAAGTAAGAGCACACAACCTGATTGTCCAGTGCCAATCAGCCCTCAAAACATATACCTAACATTATATGGACTCAACAGGTTATATTTAGGAACATATATGTACATAGAAATATATGTATACATGGAATAACAATTGAAGGAGACTGGGGAGGCATATATGAGAGAGAAGTTTGAGGGAGATGGAAAGCAGAAATGTAATTAAAATAAAATCTCAAAAAAAGTTGGAGAATAAAAGAGAGACAAGAAAGTCAAAGACAATCTCCAGACAAAGATATTAATTTAACAGGCTGGTAAGCCAAGGACGGGTAAGATTCTGCACAGAGTCTTACCAACCTAAGAGATAAATGCATTGCTTTTGATAATGCATATTCCGTGACAGCTAAGGAAGGTGTTTTTGTCAGAAAGACCTAAGACAGGATCAGTCTTGTTAATGAAATAAAAAGGGCCAGAGTGAGGGGTGGGGGATGGGGGGTGGGGGGAGAGATGTGGAGAACTTTTGGGGCTGCTTGGCAGAAATCTGACATCGGCCAAGGACAAAGAAGTGGCCTTCAGGCAGGTATCTGACATCAGGCTAGAACAAAGAAGAAATTTCAGGCAGGAAATCTAAATCTTAGGCTAGAACAAAGAAATAGGCTTCAGACATGAAAATGACTTTGGGTTAGGACAGGGAAGTAGGCTCAAGATATTTTGGTCATCCTGATAAGCCCTTAGAAACAGTGATCAAGGGAGTGATCATGGTACTTTATTGTCTTGTTCTTTGACTATTTGTGTTTATTGTCTTGCTTGTTCCTTGACTATTTGCATCTATTGTATTGCTAATTCCTCAGCCTAGAACTGACCTTAATACTTGCATGTAATAAAAATGGTATAAAAGAAGATTGGAGAAAAATAAAAAAAAGAAAATATAAAGATGTGGAAAAATAAATAAAATAAAATAAATAAATAAATAAAAAAGAATGCCAAAGACACTCTTCTCCCAGTACTCTTTAGCTCACAGTTCCTTAGCAAGGGTTGGGGCTCATAAACATCTTAAGTATACTCAAAGCTGATTTTAGGATGCTATTGATAAAGTCCATATTGACAAATGTCATAGCTAACCATGCCAAAAGTCTAGGGTGACCTTTACAACTTCTACAATTTCCTAATATTATTCAATCATTACATGACTTTTATGTATTAATGATGTTTTAGCTATATGGTATAAATTTACAGAGTATGGTTGCAGGCAACAAACAGAAAAAGAAAAACTTAAAAACTGAGGTTGATTTCTTTTCCTTTTTTAAAATATAGACCACAAAATTAATTATAATTTAAAACACAAACCTTTTTGAGCCCTGGCATGATATGAAAGCAGATAATTCCACATCTGACTTTACATGTGAAACATTATTTTATATATAAAAGTATTTTTAAATTACTGCACAAAATTATCTTCAGGCTAAGTGCATAAAGGGTAAAGGGGGAACACCTCCAAGCATCACAGGTTATTGTTCTCTCTACACTAGTGGTAAAGCCCTATTGCTGAAGACAACATTTATGGCACTGAACACAAAAAAGTAGAGTTGGTGCCTAACTAAAAACCTCACTCCTAATGACTACTGTTTATGATACTTGATACTACCCAGATACAAACCCTAAGACATACAACAGAGACAAGCCTACAAGATACACTGGTGTGATAATGGCATAAATGTTATAGGAGTAACTAACAACTTTCTGATTGGATTTAAGGCACACTCCATGAAATGGAACCTATACCCACACTACTAGAATAGCCAAGAACCTGAGACTACAGAGGTCATGAGCTTAGAGGAAAACCTAATACCATTATTCTGCTAGATGAACATAGCAATAAATTGATTCCTAATGATACACTGCTATACCTATACTCAGTGACTTGCTCAGCCCTCATTAGAGAAGTTTCTTCTTGTAGTAAATGGGAACTAACACAGATACACACAATTGGACAATGTCCAAAGAGTAAGAGACTATGGAATACTCAGTCCTTAATGGGATGTCTTCATCACCAAAGCCCTCCCATCAACGCTTGAGGAGCTATGTAGAAGAGGAGACCGACTGTAAGAGTTAGAGGTATTAAATCAAAATATTAATAGTCTACTTTTTTGGAGAAAATATTTTTGGAAAGCACTTTGAGACTTTTAGATTATATTGGCCCAATATGTCAATTTTAGAAAAAGCTAAGAATTAAAATATCATTTCTGAAGCTATGAAAAAAGTTTACTTCCTTCTATCATTAGACAACATTAGTAGCAAGGCAGTAACAATAAATGCATTATCCTTCAATATAAGTTCATAAATTCTAACTGTTTGCATATCATTCCTAGATTTATCCCATTTTATTGTTTTAGTTCAGTAGCCTGTTCAAAACCATTTTATTGACTCTCAATGGTTACAGCAAGGAATCTTTTGTTTATGTTAATTAGTATCACTATTTCCAATAGCACTTTTCAAAACACAAATCACAATTAAAATTCCTCAGAATGTTTCTTGCAGATGGGTTCTTATCTAAATTGTTTCCCTCTTACCTCCTTTATCAATTGTCCTTTTATCCATATTCTAAAACTCAACTTCATATGTTGTTAATTTCATTTTCCATCAACCAACATGGTATTTTTACAAATTATAAAACAGAGGATTTTAATATCATTTAGGTAAAAAAATTGCAATGAACTCTCTGTCTAGTGGGAGGAATCATCTCTGTATCACTGAGACCCTGACTAGATGTTTTGAGAAGTGGTAGCAATACCAATTTGACATTTTAAAGATATTATTTAATTAATATGCTTACCCAATATTCTACTACTTCTCTTTTCCTAGATCTTAATATCAACTTATAATCTGGCTAAAATTATTTCCATCAGAGTACCAACACATACAAAAACTACCTTTGTTGAGGAAAACTATAAAATTTAGGAAAGTACAAATGTTCATCCCAAAAGCAAATGTTCTACTTTATAAACTTACTTCCTTTGAACTATGCTTCACTAAAATTACAAAAATGACTATACTAATTTGTTTCATAAATTAATCTGTACATATATTTGTTTTTAGATTGATTCCTATGTCAAGACAATAACATATTTTAATGATTGCAATCATTCATGAGTCAGTCACAAGGTACCTGGATATAATTTGTTATATATCAAATAAATCTGCTGCTTTGTTATGAAATTGTTCTCACAATAATGTTAATCTGGAAATATTTTAAAAGTTCTGAATTAATTTTGGAAGAACTAAGGCAGGAAGTATTACATACCTGTTTTATGGCAGTTACTGTTATCACAAAGAATAATGGAAGTCCACTGGTAATCGGACTGGTAGGTGTATCAATCATAAGCTAGATTTAAAGAAAGAATGTAGAGAATTACATATTTATATTATATATGTTGTCTTACTAATGCCCCAAATCTCACACTGTTGTACAAGGTATACAGTTTAATATACTATTTCACTTTCTTGACAACCTCATAGGCTTGACTGAGTCTCTACTGTACTCTCTCATACACAGACTGAACTGTTACTCTGCTTTTATACTTCTGTTTTGCCTTTTGAGACAGGATTTTGCTACATATGCCCACACAAAACTGAACCACTTCCTATCCCCTTGTCTTTGCTGCTCAAGTGCTGGGATTTTAGGCATGAGCCACCAAATGTGGCTACTTGGCTTTCACAGTTCTTATGTTCTTCTAAATGTTACCCACGAGTAGAACCACAATGGGTCTTATTTCATATTCTTTGTACATCCTACAAAACGCTGAAAAGTCTGTCAGCACCTTTAACCTGAGATTCAAGATAAACTCAATCCTGAAGAAAGAAAACTAAGAACGGAAAAGAATCAGAGGAAGACAGCTAGGAAAATAGTGTTTCAATTATGCTACAAATCATATAACTAACTGAAGATTCTATAAGTTGCTGAAGAAGTACTGGCAGTTAGTACATAGGCTAGAAAGGACACAAATCTTATGATTTATTGATTTCCCTTCATTCTGGATAGGTCAATTAAATTTGCTCTATTCAGTATAATGCTGATCTTAGCTAGCAATTTCACAACTGCAAACATGCCATGTGAATATAGTTAGCATAATTTCATTTTCCAGGAAAATCACTGGATGCTCTATTGATATAAAATTAAAAGTTCCTTTTCCATTCATGAAGAAGAATATTTTAAAACTGTTTTCTAAAGCTTTAAAATGATTATTTGAGTAATTTTAACCTTTCTTTTGAAATCCTAGGTTCTACTGAGAGGCTAATTTAGAGTTTAAACAAACTTTTTAACACTGAAGAAAAACTCTAAGATTTTATCAGAAATAACCATAAGAAAATGATAATTACTATATTTACAAATTAATTTGTATTTGAGTTTCAACTTATATTTTGATACACACACATATACATACGAAAGCAAAAATAATTTAGATTAAGAAGCTGCTTAATAGTTTATGATGACCTCAGATTTAAGCCCAAAAAGGTACTCTTGTTAATACTTAAAAATTAAAATAATATGTTGAATGTGGGGTTAAACACCTATAATTCCAGAGAAGCAGATGCAGACAGAAAGTAAGCTCATAACCAGTCTAGGCTACATAATGAGACTATAAGGTGTACACACACACACACACACACACACACACACACACACACACAAAGAAGA